GGCTTTGGGTAATGAAGATTGGCATGAGAAATTTCCACATTCCAAAGTCCAATACCTTCACATGTGGAGATCGGATCATCGTCCGATACTTGCAGAGATACTATCTAAACCAACAAGGAAAAAGAAGAGCTTCAAGTTTGAAAAACGTTGGCTGGATAGTGAAGAAATTCGCAAGGTGATTATAGATGGATGGAACTCAGTAAATTTGGCACCTAATGCAAACATTATTGATCATATCTCATGTTGTCGGAAAGCCCTAGGGAAATGGAAAAGAGAAAAATATTTTAATGCGGCAAAGCTAGTAGAAGATCTTAAGATGAAGGCAGTTAACCTTTATTTTAATGATAATGCTATAACAGACGAAATAGGGGACGCATTAAAAAAACCAACCGAGGCTCTTAAGGCTGAGGAACGGTTTTGGAAATAAAAGAGTAGAGTTCTATGGCTTTGGGAGGGGGATTTGAACACAAAATTCTTTGAGGCTATTACAAAACAAAGAAGAGCCAGGAATAAAATTACAGGACTCCTAGATTCTGCTGGGAATCTCGTGGAAGATTAAGAGAAACTAGTGGCCATTGCAACTAGTTATTTCAGAGACCTATTTGAGACATCCAATCCTGAGCTTATTGATGAGGCACTGGAAAATGTGACTACGACGATGTTTGATCAACTGAATGCAAACCTGACGGCTCTTGTCTCAGAATGGGAGGTTAAGCTTGCTCTCTTTGCGATGCATCCAAAAAAGGCACCAGGATCAGATGGCCTAACAATATTGTTCTATCAAAAAATTTGGGACATTATCAAGGCAGATTTAACTCGTATGGTTAATGAATTCCTTTTCGATGGAGTTATGGCGGATGGCCTTAATGATGCAAATATTTTCCTAATACCTAAGAAAGAAAAACCGAATGAAATGTCTCAGTTTTGACCCATCAGCCTCTGTAACGTGAGATAAAAATTATATCTAAGGTCTTATGCCAAAGATTAAAGAAGATTCTGCCAGATCAAATATCTGAAACACAGTCAGCCTTTGTTCCTGGAAGACAGATAACTGATAATGTACTGATAGCACAATAAATGTTTCATGCGTTGCGGACAAACGCTGGTGGAAGAAATAAGCGAATGACAATAAATACAGACATAAGCAAAGTGTATGATCGATTGGAATGTGAATTCATCAGCGCAGTCTTGAAGAAAATGGGTTTTTCTGACCTATGGATTGAGTGGATAATTAGGTGTGTATCAACCGTAAAGTATCATGTCCTATTTAATGGTCAACCGAGAGGCGATATAATCCCCCTGAGGGGACTACGTTAAGGAGATCATTTGTCTCCTTTCATCTTCATCTTATGCATGGAAGCATTCGTTAGCCTTCTAAATCATGACTGCGAATGGAAACATCTTGATTTTGAGATTAGTGATTGGGAGGCTTTTTCTTCTGTAAGGCGGAGCCCTGTGAATGCAATGAAGTCATGAAAGTAATTAAGACAACAACAGAGATAACAAATGAGGGAGGGATGGGGTATTATCTTGGGATACCAGAAGATATCAAGAGAGAAAATTTCGCTTTTCTAAAGGAGAAGTTGCAAAACCGTGTTAACGGATGGACTGGACGATATTTGTCGCGTGGAGGAAAGGAGGTCTTAATAAAATCTATATTACTGACACTGCCTACCTATGTAATGTCAACCCTCCTATTACCGCTAGAGACTTGTGAAAACTTAGCTAGTGCCATTGCACAGTTCTAGTGGAGTTCAAACCCCCCAAAAAAAGGTTTTCATTGGACAATATGGGAGAAACTCTGCAAGTCAATGGCGGAGGGAGGAATAGGTTTGAGGATGATCCATGAATTCAATCTTGCTCTGCTAGGGAAGCAACTTTGGAGATTAGTACAATTTTCTGATTCTTTGTTAGCAAGAGTATCGAGAGGAAAATACTTCAAGTTTAGTTCGCCTTTGCGACTAAATAATTTTAATAATCTCTCATATGGATGGACTAGTATTATGGCTGCAAACCCATTAATTAATTTGGGGATTAGACAAAATATTCACTCGGGGAAGGAAATCAGAATATGGGAAGATTTGTGGCTCCCAACGATACCAGCCCGCCCTACTAGATCAATATCTCTAGTGGTTCATCCAATGATGTCAGTAAGTCAACTCATGAGTGGGACGCCAAAGCAGTGGAACTTGAAATCATTAAAAAATTATGTCCATCCAAAAGATATTCCACTGATTCCATCCCTGACCATAAGCCAAGGACATCAAAGAGACGAATTCTGTTGGTCCTATACAAAAAATGGAAGAAACACGGTTAAATCTATATACTGGGTGGCAACTAATGTTTTCAACAAAGATATAGAGCCAGTAATCAAACCAAGTATAGTCAAACTTCAAGCCTTGCTTGGAGGATCAAAGCTCCTCCGAAGATCCAACATTTCATATGGGAAACGAGGGTAACACACAACTTAACACAACGTAATATGTGATGTGATAATCATTGTCCTAGGTGTGGAGCAGAAAATGGGACAATCAATCATGCTCTAATTGAATGCCCACCGGCATTACAGACATGGGCTCTGGCAGCAACCCCAAGTCCACCTTCAGTGTTTCCCAGTGCGAGCCATTTCACAAATATAGATTACTTATTCTGGCGCAAAATGATATTGGAAATGCTGAGCTTGTTAAGGATCTGAATCTGTGGATCATATGGTATATATGAAAGGCTAGAAATGATAAATTATTCAGAGGACTGGACAGGGACCCATTGGAAACTATCAGACATGCCGAAGCAGAATGTCATGCATAGTTTGAGGCAAATACTAAACCTGGAAAGGTAACAATGGAGAGCCAACCTCAAGAATCTTTGACTGACTTAGAGAGATGCATGATTGATGGATCATGGACACATGACGCACTCTTCAGTGGTTGTTGATGGACATGGAAGAATTCTAATGGAACCATTCAACTTCTTGTTGTAAAAACCAGCGCAGAACTATCTCACCTTCACATTCGGAATTAGAGGCCCTTTTGTGGGCAATGGAGTGCATACTGCAGTTGTCGATGTGTCAGGCGTTCGTCACCTACTGCAAGGATCTAGTCTTGATGACCCAAGATCCAGGAGCATGGCCAAACTTTTCCGTGGAACTTTCAAGGCTGAAGAATGTATTCACTGATTTTTCAATTTCCTTTATCCCACGTGCTGGAAATGTATCGTCTGATTCATTAGCTAAGATAGCAAGGTCCTTTTACAGAGATCTGTATTATATTGGTTGTTCTGTTTCGATCTGGTTTCCTAGACCACCTTAAGCTTGAATAATAGAATAGTCGTTTGAGAAAAAATAAATGATATGCCAATTTTGAGTGTTCAAAAATATTTCTAAATATTTTGCTGACAAAAAAAAATTCAAAACTTATCATAGACTTAATTTTTAGATCTAAAATAAATAAAAATACAAATTTATAAATCACAATTTATTAGTATCGAACAAAGAAATTAATATTGTCATATTAATAGTTTTTTCTATTACCATTGTTTCATTTTCTTCAAACGACATGATATACAAATTTCATTCAAGTGTAAGTATTATAATTTTTGAAATTTTATATAACATTAAAAAGTATGAGTTATTTAATAAAAATATAAAAATATTATTATATCTTTGGGGTTTCAACAGATCATAAGTTTTTGAATGTATACAATATTTTGAGTTTTTTGTATTTCTATTGGTTTATCTAAAAAATAATTAATTGTTTTTCTTATTATACGGATAACCGTTCAATCATTCAACTACGACTTTGAACTGAATTTGAAAACAATACTTAAAAATCAAATATTATCCAACAACTTTTTTGAAACACAAATTTAAAAAATTTAAAATTATCTGTTTTCTAAAAATAAGTTATAAATTCAATCAAATTTTATTAAAATGATAAAACCATTTCTGCACTTTTGTCAAAAAAGAAAAAGGGATCAAAATTTAATAATAAATTAAAACCAAACACTTTTGTCCCAATATCCTCGGTTTTGAGCCTGACCCACCCATCAGAATGGGATTATTACACTCACAAGTACAACTAGAGAAAAACCTGGTAGCCCTACAATTCCCCAGAACCCGAACAGGTTAACAGAAAAGAATATCACTGTTAAGAAACCAAAAAACATAGTCTTATCAGATGATTTGATGGTCTTGTAGTAGGCACAGATGCCTAGGGCCATCGAATAAGTAGATGCCATCATGCCAGCCAATATCCCCATCACCCAACAGATACTCGCAGGATCGGACCTGGCTTAATGGGGCTCTCATTCCAAAAAATAATTTATAATTTTTTTTTTATAGTTATAAAACTATATATGACAAACCTATATAAAAATCAAAATAAAAACTAAATGTACACATAAATATATAGATAATTATTTAAAATAATATATAAAAACCTTTTCTGTATTTTATATATAGATTAATATAGAGAAATAATTATTTTTAAAAAAAAATTGGGAGGCAGGGCTCTTATAATGTTGATGTTCCATTCAAATGTTTCTTATGAATAGGCGCAGGTCAGGCCCTCATACTCGCAAAGGTATACACATCAAAAATCTCGAATTTTTCCCTTCGACAAAAAAAACGCAGCAGAGCAAACAGGATTGAAACAGTGACAATATGATATCTCAACGCATCCTTCTTAAACTTACGATGGTCCGCAAAAATCTCGAACTTTTCCCTTCGACAAAATAAACGCAGCAGAGCAAACAGAATTGAAACAGTGACAATATGATATCTCAACGCATGTGTTCAAAAAAAAAAAAAAGTGTTCAAAAGAAAAAAAAAAAAAAAAATGATATCTCAACGCATCCTTCTTAAACTTACGATGGTCCGCAAGTAATTTGGTCCGCAAGTAATTTGGTCCGCAAGGAATTTGTAAGTAAAGCGAATCTGTTGCATTTTTTTTCAACGGAAGAAGAAGCGAAGGGAGACGGCGTCGGCGAAATAATTCTTATTTATAACGTTTTTAATTAATTTAAGCCTTTATTGGGATATTCCTTAATTATTCAACACAATAACTAAGGGTTATAAATAGCATTCATAGATAAAATGCTCAAGCCCGGCCCACCCCAAAGAGAAGAGAATACAGAGTATACATACATTTCTACAGATACAGAGTGATTACAGACAACATTTGTCTTCTCTTGTTGTCTGATTCACTACAAGAACAGAGAAGGAACCGAGTGTTGTTGTGTCTCACTTGAACTCCAAGACTTGTGGGTTTGGATGAGTGTGAGACGTGTCTGATGATGAAGACACCGAAGTGACGTTAATAGGATATACCTCAGTTACTTCTTCAGTCTTCTCATCAAAGTAGACCACATCCTGCATCGTTAGCTGGTGGTATTCGACCACTCCTCTCAGATAGAGGTTTTCGCGTGTGTATATCGAGTTCTCGTGAGCTAACCGAGCCTTCTCAGCCAATAACGTCTCAAGTTGAAGTCGCACCTATATAGATGAGAGACAAAAGACGCAACCAAATTATCCGAATATGCTAAAAAGATTGTTCACCTTTGTAAAGAGTAAAAGATATATTCATACAAGATCATCGTTATCAGTTTGGCTGTTTTCGCCATTATGATCCTCCCTCAGAACCTTGTTTTCTTCTTCAAGCTGAGCGCATCGCTGCTTTGCAAAGGCCAGATCAGACTTTACCATCTTCAGCTCACGTAGAAGAAGCTTTGCCTTGGCAGCCATGGCCATTGCAACCTGTTGACAAAAATTTATAACTCTTTTCTGATTTCTAAACTCAATAATCAGTAAATGAAGATATAATATAAACAGCGCTGCTGGCAACCAATAAATGATACAGAGCAGCCACCTTACGTCGCGAGAAGCCTTGAGTTGAATCTCCAAATCTGCTTGTATCTCAGGGTGCCGTGAAAGACTTGGCTTTTTCTTAATCTTTTTACGTGTTTCTTGAATGATCCCCGCCGTACGTGTCTCCACAGCAGTAATACCTTCCTAAGGAAATTCACAGTCACATAACAATCTCAGCCCCAACAAGAAACTATCATTTAGTAGAGTGAAGAAGGTTGCATATGTCTCTTACAGAACCAAGAAAGAGTTGCATAAAGAGTAAGAAACTAACCTCAACCGCAGAACCAATGTAATTCAAGGATGAAGTGATGGCATCTAAGCTTCTTTGTAAGGAAGGATTCTCTGTTTTCCTAGCGGTATGACCAGCTTCCTGCAACATGTTCAACTTCATAAGAAGGCTACCCATAAGAGAATTATAAAAAGGGCTTATGAATCTCAAGCCACCTTAGTTTCTGAAGGCATGTTGTGGTCCATTCTCGTGGGACTTTGAGGTAATTGTTGAGAATCCTCATCTAAAAGAGCCTTTGCTTTACTAGCAAGACTTCCCCAAAAGCTTCGTTTAGGTTCGTTCAAACTCTTCATAGACGTGTACTCATGAGGCTTCTTCACCACCTCCTATTCAAATCGAAAAGATCCCACATTTCAATTGAAGCAAAAACAGAGTAACCCGTGAAAACGTTCAAACAAGCTAAACATGAGAAAGAGAGAGAGACTAAACACAAAAGACGAAACCTTGGGTGGAGTGGGAACAGGAGGAGAAGAGTAGGCAGAGGAAAGAGAAGAGTCTCTGTGCGCTGAAGATGCTCTAATTGCCTTGGCCGCGAGGGAAGACGCAGCAGAAGATGAAGACGATGGATAAGGCATCCTTTCCTTATCTCTCTCCATCTCTCGAGGTTTAGATCTTCGAGTTCCTCAAAATCGAAATCTTCAATCAACTACTCTCAAGCTCATCGATGGGATCAAATGCTTCGTTATTGGGATCGATCTAGGGTTTTCCTGGGAGCATCTTTTGGATCTCCTCGCAAATGATGCCAATTTGTTTTTTTTTTTCAATTTTGGTGTCGTCAGCGCTGAGACGATGGTGACATCTCAAATTCTATAAGCAAGGGTACGAAGAATTTAATTCCGGTTTTTGAATCTTGGTTTTCTACAAATATATTAAACCATTCTTATCCGGTTCGATTTGTCTGTATTGGTTCTTGATTCTCCGAAAGATTTTGGGTAGAAAAATTTCCAATCTTTATATATAAAGAAAAGCTTTACTCTCTTCTCCTTCATCCACGTCATAAAGTGATGTCATAAAATCAGATCATGAGAACTTAACACGCTAACAAATCAAACTGATTTCATACAATTAAAAATTCTCAGCCCTGAAGCCCCATATTCACCAGCCCATCAAATAGGTTCTCTAATTGGAAACGTTAGAGCACGTTTAACGGCGTCTCTTAAGACGTGTCTTAATGAAATTAAGAATTAAAAAAAAAAGAAAAATAGCTATAAACCCAAACAACGTATCCCAATTAAGGGAAGAATGGAACGTATCTTAATTAACACGTGTGAAAACCTTATTGGGCGAAGGAAAGGTGTGGAGGTTCTTTTGTTATTTTCTTTCTCTCCCTCGGTGGCTCTCCGGAAACAGCGACTTCGGTGGCTCTCCTCGACACTATGCTCTTTCGTTCTATACGTCGTCTCTCTGCTATCGAAGTTAATCTGCCACTTGAGGATGGTAATTGATTTCGTTACCTACGTTTATTTAATCAATTCCTTAGTTAATCTCTTAGAGAATCTAGAATAATCTTTCGATAAGATCAAATTCGATTTTGTTTTTTTTTCAGAGAATCTAGGGTTTTCGATTTGTTTTGATTATGTCAGTTCTTGTTGTGCTAAGCTATCTCTTATCTCTGCTTTGTTGCGTAGGCTAATTATCAAAACGGTAGGCACACCATCATCTTGGTCCAATACTCTCCAAGCAGAGCTACGAGGTCGTTTATGGACTACGATTCTATAGACCAGTCACCAAGCTATGGATGGTAAAAAAAAGTTAATTCTGTTATTATAGCTGTAGCTACTTGTTCTTGACTTTGGTTATGATTACTGGAGGCTTTATCTTTAAACGGTATAGCAAGAGATGTATAGTTCTGTAGCTGTTTCTCTGAGTTGATAGCACGTTAATATCTAAAGATGACTTGTTTAAGGAGGCAACGTTGTTATTAGCTGATGGATATAATGAGTGGTGTGTGTACTTGGTAATCATACTGGTCATGCCATTGCGTTTGGAATTTTGGATGGCTATTCCTTTTAGGGATAGCAAATTGTCTGGTCTCTCTGATAGTTTTGATTTGCTAGCTAATGAATTGGGTGGGGGCGGGGTAGTAGCGTGAAGAAGAAAGTTGTTTTGGGAAAGCTTTTTCTGGTTTTATGGCAATACTTTTGAATGCTTTCCTCATTATGCCAACAGGTTTGGGTTCTGAACTGATATTTGAGGCTTGTAGAAAAGGAAGTTGAAGGAAATCAACCCATCTCTCAGAAATCTTAGCTATGACATTGCTGATCTTTTGCAACTTTTTGGATGGTTTTGCTGACATGAGCGCTTTATGGATGGTTTTGCTCACACTTCATCGTTATTTTTACTTGATAAATCATTGATCAATGTTTTGATAAGTAGTGTTCTAGTTCTTGATCAATATTTTCACTTTATATTTTTATTTTATTTTTAAGAACCTTAACTAAAAAACTACCAATAAACCACTATAATTAAATGTCTCTTAACAATGTCTCTTGTCTTAATTTTAATAGTAAAAAATTCACTAAGAACTACTTAAAGGTCTTACCAATAAACATGCTCTTACACTTTTCGTCTCAGTGACCTCGGCTCCTGGCCATGGCACCCTGCGACTTCTCATGTCATCGCTGTCGCGGCTCCGATTGATATTCGGTTGTCCAACCGCGATTACCGCCCTCCTTTTCGTGTCTGAGCTTCCTCTGCAGCGTGAGCGGCGTTCATCTTTTCACCGCAGCGACCTTCTAAGCTCACGACCAACAGCCATCTCAGCTCCCAAAGCCGTCGATCTTAGCTCCAATTGCAGAGGATCTCAAGCCGTGATTTACGTGCTATTGATTTATCGCTTTATCATACTTATTGACTCATGTTCATAGTGTTATACTTCGGCTTGATCTGCAAAGAAGTAGCAAAGGTCGTTCCTTCTCAGGTTTGTTTATCTCCTTTACAAGATCAATAGTTCATGTGCAGTATAAGGTATTCTCTTTATCTTTTTTTAAGGTTGATAGTTAATTTGTCTTTTTTTCTTTAAAAATTGAGTTCCCCAGGTCTCTTATTACTTATTAGTAACAATTGTATTTGCAGAGTGAGATAATGTCCAAGTCGGAACTGTTTGTTGAGCCAGACCCAGAACTACGTGTAGCTCTTTTGGATCAAAAGTAGGTAATGTTTCTTTCTACCCAGACAATGTATAAATCTGATGGTTCATTTGTTAATGTGGTACTGTTTGCGTACAGGCTGATAAAAAGCTCAGATTATCTCTACACAGACAAGATGATGAAGCATTCATTTAATAAATTCCTTCCCAATGACATGGACTGGTGAGATCTCTTTGACATGGTGATAGTAGCTGAGAGGAAACCAGAGTTCTTCCAGATGTCACATCCTTTGTACGAGGTTGTGACTGGAGAGGGTTTGATGTGTCCATGCTTCAAGGTTGAAACATGTGACTTCTCTTTTTTTCTACTGAATGTACACAGAGTTTAAAGAAAGCTTAATTTGTTTGCCTTTGATCTCCCATAGGAGGTTTGTACTCAGGAGGAAGTGCACAGATGATAGAGAGTTCACTAAATGTTCATGGCGATGAGATTTTGTATGTTGGTGACCACATCTACACTGATGTAAGCGTGTCCAAAGTCCATCTCAGGTGGCGAACTGCACTGATCTGCCGTGAACTGGAAGAAGAGGTTTGGATTCGTTATATTCTGAACTATAAAAATTAATACTTTGATGTTTTTTTCGTTGTAAGTAACAGAGAAATGCCGGTTTTGTGTTTGTTTCTTTTGCAGTATATGGCTTTGATTGGTTGCCGCNCACTGATGTAAGCGTGTCCAAAGTCCATCTCAGGTGGCGAACTGCACTGATCTGCCGTGAACTGGAAGAAGAGGTTTGGATTCGTTATATTCTGAACTATAAAAATTAATACTTTGATGTTTTTTTCGTTGTAAGTAACAGAGAAATGCCGGTTTTGTGTTTGTTTCTTTTGCAGTATATGGCTTTGATTGGTTGCCGCGGTCACCGAGAATCTCTAAATCAAAAAGAGGTTGTTGGGGGTCTCTTTAACCAGCTTCGGCTTGCTCTTCAAAGAAGACACAAAGGCCTTCCTGCTCAGGTTTTGTTTATCTCACGTGCTGGATACAATTGGTAGTTAGATCAGATAAGAGACTCTCATAAATCTATCTCTTTATTATTTTTTTCTTTCTAGACCTTAGCTGCTACCAACTTGGCTGATCAAGAACTGGCAGAGACCATGCAGAAGCTTCTCATTGTAATGCAAAGACTAGATAATAAGATTTGTCTAATGCTTGTATCAGACGGCGAGCTCTTCAACAAAAGGTTTTTATTTTTAAAAGGGACAAACTACACAAGTATCTATGATACCTCTTCTATCTGATCCATGATTGTTGGGTTGTTTTACTAGGTGGGGCTTCCTTTCACGTTCTGGGTTGTGGGACAAAAGCCACTTGATGAGACAAATCGAAAAGTATGGATACTCTCTTCTCTGCATTTTCTGAGAAACCTGTAGTATATCTCTCACACTTACTTCCCTCACTCAAAATTGATTTTCAGGTATGCTGATATATACACATCAAGAGTCTCCAACTTCCTCAACGACACACCCTTCATGTATTTCCGCTCGCTGGAGCAGGTAACAAAGCTTTAGATTAAATTGTCAAGATAAGTAGAATAAAAATCTGAGGCCTTATGTTAATTGAGCTCTATGTTGTTTCTCTCCTCTGCAGCCACTGGCTCATGATTCTCCGCTTCCTGATGCGACTATGAAAAATTAGCGGTCTTTTGCTCAAAGTTGATGTAATCTTTTATACGAAGAAGTGTGGATAGAGGTGTAATAGTAGAAACTCTGCAGCTCAAAGCCTCTATTTTTGTATAAATATGTAATAATCATATTCTCTGAACTAAGTTGAAGCTGGCCTTGGTTTGTTAGCGTAATATTATTGCTTTGATTTCTTGAGTATCTTTTGTGTGCTTCTCAGTTTCTGCTTCACAGTCTTGACATCAGAAGCAGTGTGTGCAAAGACTTCTTTTTTTTTTTTGACATCTAGGAAAAACATCAGAAGTAGTGTGTACAGTGTGTGCAAAGACTATTTGTAGAACACATTTGCTAACTAAACAAGAGAGAGGACAAACTTAATGTTAACTGTTATATCTCTGGTAAACGGCCACATGTCTAATATGACTAAAATACTACCATAACTTAGATACACCAACATGTAAATAAATTCTGAATTTCTTAAAAATTCAAACATCATACATTTAGTTTAAAATTTTGCTATGTTTTTACATATTAAAGTTATAAATTTTTGATGTTTTTTGATTTAAATGGATTGTCTACAACTTTACAGTTAAAAATGCTATTGAATGATAAAAAGATTTTGATAAATACTATTTTGAATATTTTGACATGCTTAAGGAAATGTTTTTAAAATGCTCTTTTAATTTATTTTTATTATTTTTTGACATATATAGTTTTAGCGTTTTATGATTTTTCTTCTTCTTTTTGTTAGATTTAGCGTTCTATGTAACATTCTTAGAACCTTTAAATCAGTTATCTTTTATATATTAGGATAGGTCTTCAATATGAACTTGATTGTCGTGTGATGTATGTAATTAGAATATTGTATATTTTCATAAAATTGAACTTGCACCACATAAAAAAAGTATTTGTTAAATTTAATTTTTATTTATGTTGGTCAAAGTTTGAGAAAACATGAAAATGAAAAGTAATATCTTAAATAGTTTTTTTTTTTGTTCTTAAGAATATTTTGCTATTTTGAAAAAAAAATACTCCTTCTGTTTCAAAATAATACATATTTTGAGTTTTTAACACTTACTAATAAAACATATTAAAACTTTGTTATTATGCATATTTTTTTGTAATTTAATGTTTTTATATTTCTAAATTAATAAGATTTCAAAAAATGCAATTAATGTTTTTGAAATTTATAATTTTAATTAAAAAAATTATATCTTTTTGAAACATTTTTTTAGAATATGCATCTTTTTGAAACGAAGAGAAGAGAGTAGTTAACTCTGGTGTTATAGCCTTTTGTTTTTCTTTTTCAAATTACAAGCAAAGGTATGCCATGTGGATTTTTCTTTTTCCTTTCCCAAATTGTAACATAATCTATCGTTTATTTCATTTGATATTCAATAGATTGCTCAGATTCTGGGCAGCCATGAACGTCAAACGCAGTGGCAAGCTATGATGCTCTTAGTGGATTCAAAGGTGAATGTTTTCTTAAACTCATGTTCATNTTTTCAAATTACAAGCAAAGGTATGCCATGTGGATTTTTCTTTTTCCTTTCCCAAATTGTAACATAATCTATCGTTTATTTCATTTGATATTCAATAGATTGCTCAGATTCTGGGCAGCCATGAACGTCAAACGCAGTGGCAAGCTATGATGCTCTTAGTGGATTCAAAGGTGAATGTTTTCTTAAACTCATGTTCATATGATTTTTTTTGTTCATAGTGTTCTTAAACTGAACCTTATCAAACTTTTAAATTCGGATCCCAGTTAATAAAAAATCTTCTGAAAGATTAATTTTAGAAACCGTTTGTGATTGTATTCTTTAGATCATGTTCATAGTGTTCTTCTCTTCTTGCCAAAGGACCCAGTCGACGCTCTGCAAAGTAATTAGTGTTTTGTTTTATATATAAATTTCTACTATATCCTTTTTGAAAAACATCTCAGGAACATCCTTTCTTGAAGAAGTACGACGATAACTCTGGACCAATCTGGCGTCATACTTCATAGATGCAGGGTCTCTGCTTGCAACGCTTAAGAATCTGTCTGGGTAGTTCTCCCTTCAAGCTCCAGGAAGTCATCACATATCAGATCATATGGTTGTCACTATTATCATCTGAGGTTTCTTTGTTTTATACCACCAGTGAAAAAAACTATCGAGATCATATAGATTTATGCTATGGTTGTATTTCAAGATTATAAGATATATGAGAAACATGAGACTGATTAGTGAGTTATATTTATTTCAGGATTCATCATTTTTAGTGTTTTTCAATGTTTAAATAATCAACTCACCTTTGCTTAAATGTTATGTTGGTTTATGTAGTTCATATTTACAAATGTTATTAGCTAAGTGACAAACATTTGAACGTGAGATTCTCAGTAAGTAAACGTGAATACTATGTTTACAATTTTATAAGAAAATAGAGTCGTAAAAATAAATTTTCAACTGTTTATGTTTCTCAAAACATATTTTTAATACCTCTATGATTCGATAAAAGTTAAAACGCATATATTTCATTACGTAGATTATATTACACTCATTAATTTATTAGTGATAAAAAAACTTACTGAAAGATTTTAGAACAAAGTTTCAAAAGGATTACACCACATCTATTATCATCGAAATCCGGCGCGTAGCGCCGGGCTCCCCTAGTTTTACATAAAATTATATATCGAATTTTTTTTTTCAAAAAGCACGAGTGTTTATTTATTGGTGATATAGTTATATGTTTTTACACCCATAATATACTATATATATAATTATAATACAAATTTTGACTAATTATTAATATATATATATATATATATAGATGAAACTAGTTTACTTTCTATATTGACTGATATGAATATTCATTTGTGACCTCTAAATTTACTCAGTAAAGATAATGTCATACAAACCACTATGAGTTTGTATGTTTTTTACAAAAAAACTAAACACTACATTATATTTGTGTATTATAATTTCTCTTACTCTTCATTATTTTTTTTAAAAAAATTAACATGTGAAATTTAGGATTAAAATTTGAAAGTTATTATAAACACAGAGTAGAAAATATATATTACCCACATTTGCAAAGTATATTGATTTATTAGACATACATTATATTTATTGTGATATTGTACCAAAACCAACAAAATAGGAAATGTTAAGATTTTATAGCTGTTTGTTTGAATATTTTTTCCACTTTTTATTCCTTTGTTCCAAAATTCAAAGAAAAATGAAGAATTTATCAACAAATTAGCTGATTTAAACGTTATTGTTGGTATATGTATTTGATTTTTCAATTCTAGATAATTTCAATTAAATTAAATAAGGTTTTTTTTGTTAATTATTTTCAACTAAACTAAATAAGATTTTTCATTAATAAATTAATTATTAATATGTTTAGATTTTGTGTTTGATGAAATATTGAAGGTGTTAATGGTTGTAACAGAGAATTACCTATGGCCATGAGGTGCATTATAAAACTTGCTTATGATGCATGTTCATGCAGCAAAGAGTGATGAATAATATAAAGTTGATGCTAGTGTTTTTGGAGAGGAGATGATATTAAAATATAAATTCTTGTGGTGACAATTAAAATATAAGGTCTTGTGGTGTTAATAGAGACATTACTCTAATTGAAGTTAAAATTATTATTTATCTATTTCTATTTATATAAAGATATGTTTTGATTCCCCCCTTAACCCATCCACATCATCTGCCAGGTCACAAAATCGTTTCTTCAGAAATTGACACGTGTACACTAAGACTATATGCTGCGTTTCAATTTATTATGTGTCAATTTTGTTTGGGCTGATTATGTTCGTATGAATTAGTTTACTTCATAAGCTCATATCTGAAATCTGGAGTATACGCCAATATAATCAAAACGCGTCATTTTTTGTTCTTCTGTTTTATTTCTTTTTCTTCTGCGAGGCTGTGATATCGGAGGATACTCTAGTGTTTTCGATCAAGATATTTCATCTTCTTCTTAACTTCTCAGGAATCAACCAATTACAGATTCATCCTAATAAAGATGTTCTTCAATCCATCAACCACGATCTACCTTAAGTGGGTCTCTTGATAAAAAGGTTAGCATCCCTATTCTCAAAATCATCCTATCAACCTATTGAAACTGTATTCCATCACCGGTTTTGAAGTGATTCGCTGTATTCAGAACCTCAGACTGTTGGGCACCTCCATATTGATTCGGTTTTGATCCCTTCTCTCATGATGATTGGAAATCCATCCGAAGGTTAAGTAATAAGCTTTATGATATTTTTGCTTTTCAGTGATCTTTTTGTTGAGTGGTTAATTTTTTGAAGGTTTCTGCCTACCAAGTCAACTCTGAATTGTGTCTATGGTGGCATGCAGTTGATCCTAAGGGAAAGATCTCTGTGGAATGGGAGCCCTTTGATTCACTTTGTTGTGGGTCAGGTAGACAAAGTTGAGGAAATGTTCGATAAAGTGTCAGGTCATGTTGTAATGATCTGCGGACGAAACAAGATTGACACAGCCTCCAAATGGAGAAAAAAATTGTAAGCTTTTCTCTTCCTTGGCTTTTCTGTTGTTAGTGATCAGTAAATTAATTTTTTTTACCTATTTTTCTTTTGAACAGACGATGATACTCCCAAACTTTCGCCGCATTGTGAAGCTGGTACGTTGGCTAAACATAAAAGTGACTTTGATGATAGAATCGTAGTACTTATCTATTGATTCATTTGTGTCTTGCTGCCCCATCCTTTGAAGCATCTTACTGAGGGGCTCAGCGGAAGGAAAAGTTTATATGATTTAGTTTATCCTATACCGATTCCTGAATAAACATAAGGTTTAGGGACAATTTCATATCTACACTTGAGGTAATATTATTTTCAAATTCTTCTTTTAAGTTTCATATCATGTATAGGTAGTTCCTTATTATGTTCATCTAGGATAGCTTGAAGATCATCAACCACAGCCACATGTATTTCAAATGGAGTTACAAAACATAGACAGATTTTTAGGTATTGATTGCTTAAACCTCTTTCATTCATTT